TGGCAGCTCGCGAGCACTGGCCTGCCGGAGCTTTCTCGACGGGCAGCGGCCATAGCTCGGCTGAAAAGGAACTTCAAAAAAGACTGTCTTCGAGAAGTATTCCGCCTCTTCATTCCTGCGTAGCACCCATATAATGATAAAGCAGGCTGTCAGCTGCTTTATCAAGGAGCTTGATCTTCTCGCGCGCCGAGGGGTCAAGCTCACTAAGAAGAACCTGGGCAGCGACCTCCTGCAAGTAGTACTCCAAGGTTTTGACACGAGCCCAGCGTCCCCTCCAAGCCAACAAAGGAATGTTATGTTCTCAGTGCACATGTAAAAGTGCACCGGCAACCCCAGCCTGCTCAGAACAGCGTCCCACTGGCGACGGAAACTGTGAAGTGAAGCAGGGTAAATACGATCGTCCATGCGTAGCCCGTGGACGACCGAGTACACATAGGCGATGGCGGCCGCATCGTCTATGCGATCGTGTTGCCGGTGTGCAAAACGGCTGGTCTTCGGGTGCCCAAAGTGTCCTCGGGAAAAACCAGGTCTCGCCTTGTAAGTAGCACCAGCTCACCAGGATGAAGCATGGCCAGGAAACCTATTATCAGCAAACAAGCCCAGCGATGCCAATCCCAAAGAAGCGCCAGACTCAGCGCGGCCCGCACCGCAGCTACAGGAAGCACCGGCCTGCAGGACCCCGGCTCTGCCCTTTGCCACTTCTTGTCGATTTGCCATGCAGCCGTCAAGAAATTCCGGTGCTGAGGAAACTTATCCTGAACAGCCGTAATGGCGTAAACAAACAAGTAGCGGGGGTAGCCTTCCTGAAAAAGGTGGAGCCCGTAGCCTCGAAGGGCCAGCGCTGTAGACTCCGCGCAGCGAAAGACTTTGGCAGAGTCCAGGTTTGCCGTGGTAGCCAACCAAAGCAGGAAGCCTCGAAAGCTCTTTGCCATTTTGTGTGCAGTGCTGGCAGCGAAGCCAGCGTCCAAGTCCAGTGGGCCCCGAGCGCGGCGGCTCGGCTCGAAAGGCCCCGGATTTCGCTCGATGTCACCAGCCAGCAAAAGCAAGAAGCGAAGCCACCTCGCCGGATTTTTGGCAATGCGGGACGCGGCAGCAACGGCCTCGAAGCTCTCCAGCCTTCCAGCCTTCAACTCCTGCAGCCATCGCGGCTCGGCGACGGCTGGCGGCCGCACGTCCCGTCCTCGACTTGGGGGATCCGCCACGTTGTCCTCCGAGTAGCAGTGCAGAAGACTGGTGTAAATCCCTGAACCCAGGATAAACCCGAGGCACCCTTGAAGGATACGGCTAAGAGCAAAACTGCTCGACCTACCTTTAGCAGCAGCTCCTATGGTAACCCGGGAATCAAGGAGGGCGACAGCTCGTACTGAGACCGAGCGGCGTGCGAGGGATTTTATCCAAGACTTAAAAACCCTAGCTTCATTGACATTGATGTGTCCGGCCTTCTTGAAGGGGTACCGGAAAAGCTCCCGAAAGCGGAGCGAGCGGCACAGCTCAGAAACCCATTCAGGATCCTCGTGCCACGGCCGCTCTGGGAAGCAGGGCTCGCTCCGGCACCCATCAAGCAACTGCAGGCCCACATCCACGCCAAAACGGTGGGCAGTCTGGTGTCTCACTGCAAGGGGCAGCCCCGGTACGAAGGCACGACTGCAAGCGGCCGAGCCAGCCCCGATCCGAGTGGCAAGCCCAACAGGTAACACTGTGCCAAAAGAAGCAAAGCTTTCGCCAAGGTCTGGAGCCCGATGGTACACACGCTCTAGTGAAGGCTTGCAGCGTTCGTGGAAGGCCGCCAACTCTTCAACTCCAAAGGTTCCTGAGCCGCCCCAGTGTGAGCCGGAGCCGCAAGTGCAGCAACGTCCCAGTGAGCAAAGCCAGGGCTTGTTGTGAAGAACCTCGAAGCCTCTTTTGCAGGGGCTCCCAAAGCTGCAAAAGCAAGAAGCAGTCACCACGCAACCCAGGCGAACCAAAGTTCGATAGCACTCCAAAAAGAAGCCTCGGCAACCCGCGGGCTGTTCAGCCGAAACGAACTGGCCGCACCGGGCAGCGACCGTAAGAACCATGGCGGCACGACGGGCGGTCGCTCTTGCCTTGTCAGAACACAGCGCCGCCTCCGAAGCGCGGCCAGAAGAGAGACCTCTCAGATCACCCCACGGCCCTGCAAAGTGCCACTTGCGCACAACCTTTCGGGCAGCTAGCGCGATAAGCTCACGAGTCAGAGAGCGTGGGAGGCAGCATGGCGTGCAGTCGAGGAACAACCCGAACCTTAAGGCCAGAAGCCTCTAAAGCGCGAGCCCACTCGAACCCTGTACTCCCGAAAACCACGGCGTCAAACAGCAGGCCTTCGCTGAGGGGCTTAGGACAAAGGGGTCGGCTCTAGGTACGTGCTGAAACTCAGCTGGGACGGTGGAGCTAGCACCGAAAAAGCTTATCGCCTTCATGCTCGATGTCTTTCTCACTCAAAAGTGCACTGACACTGGACTCAAGTCTGGTGTGGTATCCCCGCATTTCCCCATGCCTCCAAAGTTCCGCTGTGGCGGCTGAGCCTAGAGCCGCACTGCAAACGGTCCCGGCATAAGGCGACGCATCCAAACAGTAAAGATCGGGATTGGGCTGAGCACGCAGGTCTGTCACAAGAGTGCCGCATAAACAGGCCAACATCTGAAGCTCATTCCGTGCTTGCCCCGACATCCTGAACACTTTGTTTCGTGCATGCTCTTTCCTCTCACGGAACAGCTGATCAAGCACTGCGAAAACGGGTCGCCGAAACATCAAAGCAGAAGTGGGCTTGTTGGAAGCACTACAGAATCTCAACCTCGCCGCCTGCTTCAGAAACTTCGATTATGTCTTGGCCTGCTCCGAACGCAGTCATGACTACACGAGCCATGCAAAGCATTGCCAAGATCCGGCGTCGCAGGAAATCTGTGGGAAACCCATAGGAAACCCCAGGAAACCATCGGAAACCAGACCGGAAACCTTCAGAAACCCTTAAGAGGGAACAGATTCACTTTTGAGGAGCATGTCTATCATCCAGAATTCATGGGAAACCATAGCAGGCCATAACAAACATGTGGAAAACGCTGGGAAATCACAGGAAACCGCAGGAAACGTGTGGGAAACCCATAGGAAACCACAGGAAACCATCGGAAACCAGACCGGAAACCATCAGAAACCCCGTACGAAGAGCAGACTCACTTTTGAGGAGCATATCTATCTAGACATGGGAAACCAAAGCAGACTGCAACAAAGGTGTGGAAAACGCTTGGAAACCTGGAGGAAACCGCAGGAAACCCATGGGAAACCCACAGGAAACCACAGGAAACCATCGGAAACCAGAGCGAAAACCATCGGAAACCCCTATGAGGGGACAGATTCACCGTGTGGGTCCACTGGACATGTTCAATCGGCGAGCGGCCACAGCCACGGCGGCAGACTCAACGAACCGCTGCTGAAAGTTCGTGGCTACTGTTTGTGGCTACCGATGTCGTGCAGGCGCAACGACATTTCGTTGCTCCCCGCTTCTATTCTCACCTTCAGTAAGGTTCCGCCTCTTCTTAGAGTCATTGGCAACCAACCCTACGTGTTTATAGGCGACTGAAGAGCTTTCAAGAATGGCACTGTCGCGCAGGAAAGGAGCGCCTGAAACTCGGTCCAGAGGGAGCTTCTGCAGACACACATGATCATCAATTGCAAGCAGCGTGTCTGACTTCGGAACCGCACATCTGTAAAGCAGAGTCTCACTCGGCAAAAAGAGATCCTACGTGCTGACGGAGGACCTCAAAATAAGCAGCTTGGCCCACTTTGGCAGCCAAGCTGTCACCCATGGCCATCGTATTGAGCGATAAAACCTGAGAACCCTCTAGATTGCAATCCTTGGCCGCTTCGAAGTGAACCAGCTCTTCCGGTTGGAACGTACATTGCAAACTATTGCGCACAGCACGCTTTTCATCTGGAACGTGTAGTCCGAAAGATCATCGGCTCCAAAGCGCAAAGCGGTCTGCGGGTCTAAACTAAGAAGCATCAAAAGGCAGGCGCTAGGGTTTGGGAGTAACGCGAAACAGTTCGGGACCTGGAATAGATGACCGTAGGAAAAAATATAAGCCTGTCATGAGTGGCACTTGGCACGGAGAAAATCTCTACCGCTTCGGACCAATCGATCTCGGAAGCGCTAGCAACACGAACCAATCCGAGACTATCCCAGACCTCCCCCACAGTTCGGCGCGCGAGCAGTGGATGCGAGCCGGAGGGAGCTTTGGCCACACTCCTTGGAAGTCGAAGGGAGTCAAGGTTAAGGAAGCGTGTTTGAGGTCCGGGTCGAGGTAAGGACGGATCAAAGGTCGGAAGACTCTTCCATTTGATTCTGCTAGCAATGACCAGCAAAGCTTCTCCTGTGAAAAACAGAGCGCGCAGCACTCGGTCTTTTTCTTGAGCCAAAGCGGAGTCGCGTCGGGCTCTGACTGACAGTGAAACACCTTGCAGCTGTTTGTCTCCAAGCAAAACACTTCAAGCACTAACGACACGAGACGAAACGAACGTGCAGTCACTTCCTAACTCAAAAGCACTCCTAACAGCTTCAGGCATGCCGAAAACATCAGGACATCCAAGGTCAAATGGGGCCGAGCGAGCAGACAGTCGCAGCTCCAAGGCTAAGTGGAAAAACAGACCTAAAACACTGATCTACAGAGGAGACTACCTGCCTACGGAAGCCTTGCCCCGTCACCCGAAAGTAACGAGGCAAAGCTGTTGCACGCAAGTCCCACTGGACCAAGTGTTGCAAAACAGTGCCCTGCAGGTTAGCCAATGAGCCACAAATTCAACGGGCATGCAGGCAGGAATGGCACCTTCAGAGAACACCGTAGACAAAGCAAGCGGAAGCATCCCCGTGCTTCCCAAGTTCCAGCTGCCGCCAGCCCACTACGACTGTACACAGCGACTACCGTGGAACTACAGCTAACTGTACAACGCCAGCTAGAGTCGTACAGACATCTTCCGATGGCCGCACGACTCTAGCGCCAGTGACGCGTTGACTCGTGGTAAAGCTCTGGAACCGCCTCGAAGTACAGGAAACAACCAGTTTGGCAGCGCTGGGCCCAAGTGGACCCCCGCTGAGCAACTGTGAGTAACTCTCCCTGCTTGGCCAGCACAAGGCCAGAGCTCCAAGAGCCTTCAAGACTGTACCCAAGAAAAGTGCACATATTCATCAACCCTTGGCAGTGTGGCTCTACTACTGCTCACCGTGGGAGCGCAAAACAGCAAAACTGCCCAAGAAACCCACAAGGCTCAAGACTGGGAGCGAGAAGTGCACATAGTCATCATTCCTCAGTGTGTTGCGCTGGTGCTGCTCACCATGGGAGCGCAGAAGCTGCAAACTACCGGGGAGAGGCTGGATTAGAACCCTGGCTAAAGGCAAGCTTAGTTTGCTTTTGGTCCGCTTGCTTTTTGGACTTACCTTTCGGGGAAACAGCAGGAGGTGAACCAAACTTAAGAGTTGCCTGCCTGGGTCCCTTATCAACGGTTTGTTGCTCACCCTTCTTAGTGCCAAAAGGGACAGCCACCTTTTGCGCTGGAATGGCCGGCGCTGTGTCACTTAAAGACTGGTTGCCGGCACTCTGCGCAAGTTTACCCAACTGACTGACAGGAGCCCTGCCATCACACGGTTTTTGAAGGGTTTTGGCTCCCGTAGCATGCTGTGGGCGCTGCAACCTGCCACACTTAGCACACGACCACTGCACTCCCATGTTGATCATGTCATGCGAGCTGTGAATATTCCATTGCTGCAAAGGGTCGCCTCGACCCTTACACGGGTGATGCATAAGGCGATCGAAGCTGGGCAGATCGTTGATTTGCTGCAAGTACAATCCACAAATTGCACACTTCATGGTCATGTTGGTGGAGCCCTCGGCTCCCTTGACCCACTGGTGACCCAGTGAATCCTCGTCGCCTGAAAGCCTCGCCAACATTCTCTGCTTCTTGTTGAGAGGTTTGGTGGCCTTGGCAGCACCAGTCGAAGCGCAAGGGGTAACCTCAGGTGTAGGGACACTGCAAACTGTTTCCTGTGGCAACCTGCCCTTGCCTTTAGAAAACACAGGGTTAGGGAGAACTTTATTGCAAGAAGAATCACCAGACTCCTTTTTGCAACGTTGGAAAAGCCACGGAAACGATTTGTCATTTTTATGCAGAAGGATAAACCCAATTTTCCTAGCCAAGTGCAAACAAACCTCCTCCCAAAGCGTATCTATGCCGACTAGGTCCGGCTTGGTTGCAGCCTGAAACACCCCAGCAGCACGCTTGCCACAGAGTGCATCAACATCCTCATTGACACGACGCCTCCATTCAGGAATGCCCCTATCAGCATAATACTTGGAATCTTTGTGACTGGGCACCCAGGTAATGCGAGCTCTAGCTCGCTCAGACCAAACCAAACCCCATGGAGTAGGTCCCTCAAGAGGCGGGGACTTTTTAGTTACAACCTGAGCAACAGCTTTGCAGTCAACCGTCAAGTCGAAGCTACCTGAGACACGGGCGAAAAGTTCATAGGCTGCTTGCTGCTCCGCCCCCGCAACCGACAAGGGCCGCTGTGGAAAAGAGGTGATGCTCGCAACACGGCGGGCCCCATCATCTGTGATCTCATAGGCCCCAATGGCCCAAGCCACACAAGCAGAACGGAGGTCCCGGGCCCCTGGGCCACCTGAAGCGTCTGAAGCAAACACCAGATTGTCACTGCTAAGTACTTGTTGTGTTTGCCACAAACCCTCACACACTAAACCCGAGGAGCCTTTCGAAATTTTTAACCCAGTCGCTGCCTGAGGGACTAAACCCCTAAGCCAAAGGCAAGGCCATGGGAATTTCTGGCGGGCGGCACGGAAATGCGAAGGCTCAGGGTATTTAGCTGTGATAAAGGGGCAATCCCACAGAACGTGCTGCAAACTAAGTGGGCAATTACAAACAGTGCACCACCCCGGGCATGATTGACCAATCAAGGCCCCTTGCCAAAGCGCTTGCAAGTTCACTGCCATGCACTTGTTAAAAAACCTACGTCGAAGGAGGCGGTTAGGGACGGTGAGGTCTACTCCCGAACCCAAATCCAAAGCACCTTCTAAGAGGGACACCCTCTGCAACTGAACAGTTTCCCACAGTGGCAAGAGCCAATGCCAAACCTTCCTAGTAGCATCATGGCACGCCCAATCAATGGTCAAGGTGCTGTCTCCGCGCTGCCAATGATGAGCTTGCGGTGCCTGCACCCCCAGCTCGATCAAGTAAGCGATCAAAGCCGCAAGCGGCCCATTAACCCGTTTCCACGGGTGTTGCGACGGCGAGAGCCATAACCAAATGCTCACCCAAGTAGACTTAAATTTATCCGAGTCAACCAAAACCCAACGGCGGAAAACCCTAGCCACAGCACGAACATGCTGACGTAACAAGGTGAGGTGAGGATCCTCGCATCGCCGTCGGTTGACAACAAAGGTGAGATCAAGCGATCCAAGCTTGTGCCTGCCAAGATGCTTAGCGATGAGCGTTCTGTAGAATTTACGGCGTTTAGGACTCACTCCCTGCGCCTGATGGCCCCAGAGGCCAGCCGAGCACACAGATGCTTTCACGATGCGCAAACGGTGCGCCCTCCCCGGGATGGCCAGACGGTTGAGTTTCCGCGACCTGCCGGCCGCCTTTTTCCTGCGCTGTTCCGCAAGCCCCAAAACACGACGGCGACCACCGGCTGAAGTCACACCAAGGTCCCGAGTCATCGATTTGACCTGAGGATCATTGGCATCAAGAAGTTTGCTCATGGCCTTGGCCGCCTCCGTCGACGATGCCACAAAGCATGTTTTTGAAATTGAGATCTGAGCTCCCTTAGCTTCCAAATCCCGTCGGAGAGCCCTGAACAGCAAAAGGGAATCACTGGCAACCTGCACCGGAGACTTATTAACCGAATCAAGCGACAGGTCATCAATCCAAATGTCAAGGTTGCATGCACTTTTCTTTGAAGCCAGCTTTTCAGCAACTGGGTGGATGACGAGTTTTGATACCGACGGCGCCGCTGGACATCCAGCCAGAACTCCCCTCCCCGGCCAAATGGGAGGGCACAATGCACCTTCCGACTGGACAAAGCGAGGCCCCATGTAAGTAAGCAAGGCCTGATGTAAAACTAAAGGAGGGTAGCCCAAAGAAAGTCCCGAGCGAATGACGTCATCAAAAACACACCTATCGTAGAAAGTCTCCATGTCTAGGAACAATGTTATAAGGTGGGATTTGCACCTCCGCACCGACTCTCCCAGCATCAGCCTTGCCAGTGCTACGTCAAGCGCCTGGCCACCCGGGACAGCCTTGTCCCAAGTGGCACGAGCAGCATAAGCAGCCTGCCACGTGGCAACCAAAGGCCACCGCAGCTTGGCCCAAGCACGGTAAAGGATATGCAACAATGCAATGGGGCGCTCACGTTTTTCGGACTTAGGCAACAAGGCTATAAGTGCAAACACCATTTGGTCCGGCCAAGAAGCCTCGCGCTCACAGTGATGGAAGAATTCAAGAATGGCCTGCACAGCTTCAACACTGAGGTTACGAAGCATCTCACAAGTCCAGCCATCCAAGCCGGGCGCTTTGGTGGGAACCTTCTTGAAAAACCCTACAGCCCGCTCCAAGTCGATCGGATGCAACAACCGGGCTTGCTCCTGCGCAGCATGCTTCAAGGAGGCCAGCAGATCACGATCGACCCCAGCTGGATGCGACCACAGTTCAAACCAATGCCTCCACCTCAAGTAAATGCGTTCTTGCACAGGGGCATCAAGGAAGGGGCGAACAGTTACAACTTCCTCAGCCTTAACACTTCGGAACAAGGGCCTCATGCCCTTTTGAGTCGACTGCCGGAGCCATTGACCATATGATGCGCTTCTCTCTTGCTGCCATTGTTGCTGATGGGCCTTATGCTGCTTCTGTGCAGCTGCAAGCAGCCCAGGCAACACTCGCACATCCCCTGAATGCAGGAGAACCTGAAGGTCAGCTTGAAAGGCATCCCGATCAGAAGCCGCACCGGCCCACATGCTGCCAAAGCGGAGTGAGGCCGACCGGCCAAAAGGGCTCACGTGGAAACGCTTTGAGCAAGCTTGCAGCCACACAACCATGCGACGCCAAAAGGAGGCGAGAGCCCCTCCCCAACCAGAAGCAGGAGCAGTGGGGACAACAAGGGGCCTCCTGCAGACCTGGACTTTGGCACCTCGGCCTTGACTACAACCAAAGATCGAAACTTCAACATCCCTACTGAGGCTGGCGAAAAGCGCACTCAGTCCAGGCTCAGCGACCTCAGTCCCAAGCAGATGCAACTCCTCCTGGGATTGGACGGCTACCTGCTCACCACGAGGGTCAGCGACAACACTCGAGAGAAAGGGCTGAGGCTGTAACGGTGCAGGCTTAAAGGCAATCAACTGTGGCAGCTTAAAGTCAAAATGCTCAAGCTGCAGTGTCCAATGCAAGGCCGCATGTGGAGCAAAAGGAGTGTCCCAATCGACAACCAACTTAGCACCCGCAGCCAAGATGGGGGAAAGAAGGCCAAAGTCAATATTGCCTCCCCCTGCACACGTGGACTCTCCACTGCTGATCCAATGGCCCTTGGCTTCCTGAGCAAAACTGCTGGCTGCTATGGTCTCAAAATCCTCATTCAGGTCGCCTGCAGCAAAGTAAATGCCCTGGGCCGACGTAAGAAAAGCGAGCAGATTGGCCAAAATGTGCGAATTGGTGGCACTCTGAAAGCCTTCACCAGCCTTCAAATAAAGGTTAACTAGATAGCAATCAGTGTCCCGCAATCGAATAGCAGCAACCTGAAACCCAGCACCGGCCTTGAAAAACTGATGCACGCGCCGGACATTCAAGTGCTTGCGAAAGCAAATTGCCATTCCGCCTGATGTACCGCCCCGGCCCGTGGGCTGCCCCGGCACACTAAAAACATTGAAACCATAAACCCCCAATTGGCCTTCAATCAAATCGGGCTGATCCGGGGACAGATGCGTCTCTTGTAACATAACGACCGAGGCACCGAGCTGCGCAACCCAGGGGCACAGGTCCTTCCTCCAAGACGAGACATTAGCCGGGACAATGCACAAGTCATCCCGATATTTCGGTTCCTTAAGGTTTGCCAGGGCATCGTCAATTGCCCAGCCGGCCACATGAGGAGGCACGTCCTCCTGTGTTTCCACAGCAAGCTCCACAACCTTCCAATGAAAAGTGCCTTCGGTGATGAGGCCTTGCTGCTCAAAAGACTCGACTAAGCTCAAGATGGACGGAGCATCCCCAGCCAGAACCGCAGCTTTAAGGTTTTCAAAATCCGATTTTTGGCAACTTGTGGGAGTGCCACCGTCAAAGCTCACATCAAGGGAACCACAAGAAGAATCCTGGGAAACAGTCTGAGTGCAGCCAGCAGGGCGCACATCAGAATGCAAGGAGGTGTTACCGTGCCCTGCTTCAGACAAATTGCCCGCAGCAAGCATCCAGGGCCCTCCTTCCGGTCCCCCAAGACCCATGGCCAGCGGCCCACCCTCCTGAGGCAACTTCCAACTCCTGAACATAACCTCCACCTCCTGGGTCTTGGGGGCACCCTGCTCACATGGCAGGGGCTCTATTATTGAATCAAGAAAGGCCGGCGAAAACTGCTCACATGAGCGGCTGCATGACCCTGCGAGTTCCCCACCTATCACTGGCATAGCTGCGCGCCTCAGCCAACGATTGCGACGCCGCCTAGTGCGCCTGGACTTGGGAACCCGCTCTGTCTGCCCAGACTGCCCTACACCACTGCAGACAGCACTTGGGGCCTCATCCTGCCATGAGTCCTGCAAGAAAGCATACTCATGTTCGGGCCAGAAAAATTTTGGCCCTGTGATCACGCAAGGCTGCTTGCAACTCTGCACCAAGTCAGCAGCAGCACACTGGTACGAAAATTTGCACAGACAGGTGGCACAAAATTGACCGCACTTCTGCATCGCAACTGCTAGCTCAGCGCTAGGTCTGGCGCAGTTAGCGCGCCAACACGCCTGATAGAATAAAAGGGCCTCCTGGGATTCCAAATGGGATTTTCATTCCGGTGGTGCTCGCGTCCACGGCCAGAGGCCACTCCAGAGAAACCTAAAGCATGCAGTAATTAAGGAAACTAGGTACAACCTAGGCAAACCTCAGCTCACAAGCGAGGTAAGGATGCACTCCTATCACTCAAGTACAAACCCAGCAGCCTAAGGCTAGCCAGGCCCTCACGACTGCAGTGAGACAGCACTCAAGTATGTACAAAGTTAGACACTGTAACCCACGCTCAGCAAGTTTAGCCCAGATCTCACTGTGGGGACCTCAGCCCTAAGACCTCAGCCCAAAGGCGAGGTCCCCTTGATGTGCCAAGGGCGGCACTCAGTAAGCGTAGGAGGTTCCAGTGCGGGCCGGGTGTGCTGCAGCGCCTCCAAGGAAGAAGACAGGACAAGCAGGCCCAACTAACTAGAGCCCAAAAACCAAGCCAAAGGAAATTACTCAGCTCAGGCGTGAAGCGGCTGCCCCTCCACTTGTAACTTGAGCGCAGGGCCGACGACTCTCCCCTAAACTAGGCGCAGGGACGACGCTTTCCCCTCAACTGGAGCGCAGGGAACGACGCCCAGCACACCTCCACGCTTGGGCTGAGTAAACGCACAAGGCTGGCGGCTCAAATCCTGTACTGAAGGCCGGGCACCCGTAGCAAGCAAACCAGAAATTGCTGCACCCAGTCCTTCAGGACGGGACAAAACTAAACACGCGCGTAGGCCAGAAGGCTAGCGCAGCGCTTAGGCGGGTTATGCCTCAAACAGTGGGGTGGTTGGCGGCATACAGAAGCTGACTCCTCACTGCCAAGAGTCGCAAAGATTCACAACAACCTAAACCCAAAGACCAAGCAAAGGCCCAAGCATGCAGCAGACACATTGGGAACCTGACCAAAAGGAAAAGAGAGGTGGGAACCCCCTAAACCCCAAGGTCCTAACACCCCTAAACCCTGCAAGCCACCTGCTCGTTGTCAGTCAGGCGGTCACACCTGAGAAACCTGCGCAACCTGCTGCAGCACATGCGGCAACTTACAGGGCTTAGGAGGATTGCAGACACTTCCAAAACCTGAGCCAGCATCTCAGAAAGGAATACTCTGCAAAAACGGGCCACCTACCTGGTAGGGCAGCTACCATCCACTGGCAGGAACACCCCCTCTTGGACTGATGCGGCACCTAGTGTCTTTTGAGCACACTTTACAAGCTCTAGACCTAGCTTTTCAGGATAGAACCCTGAATCTTTCAATTCCACCTGTACATGTTCATGCACTTGGTCACAATTCCTTTTAGGAAACACTTGGACCCAGCGTTTACTGTTCGTGGCAAAGTACCACCGTTTAAACGCACAGTCGTACGCACAGCGATCTACCACAATACCCTCAGAAAGCCCCAATTCTGAAGCAACCTGAAGATACCGCGGGTCCTTCCAGAGGTCGTTCTGCAGAGGCCACTCTTGAGTCAACAACAAGCGTTCACTCCGAGCAACCGGTTTCAACAAACCTTCAAGAAGTTCCCAAGCACGCTGATGCAACTTCTTCTTCTCTTCCCACTTCTCTTGACTGTACTTGCGCCACCCGCGGTAACGCAAACGACACCCAGTGGTACAGGGAGTGGAGATATGGCAGTAGATCTTAGTCTTCAAGCCACAACTCAACACAGAAAACAGCTCCTTCAGAAAACACTGCGTCTGCTCAGAACAAAAGTCAAGCTTCTCAGTGATGCCCACATAGGCAATCTCAAGCTTCTCACATGCCTTCTGTAAGGCACTTTCTTCCTGGCAGAACAGTTCCACGACCACAAAGGTGACCTGGTTCTTCGCCACAGCTTCACACAGTGAAACGTACTCCTCAGGAACAAAAGAACGGTTTACCGGCTCTTCTGCAGTCAGGCGTTCCAACTCAAACTCACCCAACTCGTCTTCAAAAGAAACCAAACCGGTTACCTCGTAGAGGTTGTCCAGCTGCTCCTGAAACACCATACTCTTGGTCAGGCCGTCGGAGGCATTATATGCTCCGGCCACAAACTCGAGGATCACTCTCCCCGACTGAACCATCTGCTGCAGGAAAGCACACCGCAGCTCCAGGTGACGAACCCTTCTCAAGAGTCCTTCCATTGAAGCAATCGCCTTTGCCGACTCAGAGTCGGTACAAATCCGGATCCAAAAGCTTCCGGTATCATCCTCAGGCAATCCCTCCAAAAACGACTGTTGAAGCAACCCTGCAAACAAAGCCTATTTCACAGTCTCTACCAAAGCACTCAATTCAGCCTCGGCACTGCTCAGGGCCACAACCGTCTGTTTACGGCTAAAACTCTTCAGCAGGTTGCACTGCCAGCAGATAATCGCCCCACTCACAGAGGGCAAATTCCAGCTAGCATCACAGAAACAATCAATCACGCGCATACTTTCCGAAGGGCGATAGTTCACCCACTGTGCCGGGATCCGCTGAACCCGATTCCCAAGCGTGAGAACCCAACGCAGCACAGCTCGAATACACGCTTCACTCCTGGAGTCTGGGTTGCTCTGGCTCCGGGCCAGAAAACCTACAACAAACTGCAAATCAGCTCTTGTCAAAGCTAGCCACGACAGTTTGCCCAACACGCGCCTATAGCGCTGATAGGCCTCATGCGTGATCGGGGTGGATTCCAGACTGGTCCACAAACGCTCAAGCTTGGGGAGTTTCGCTCCCTTCGTAATTTGATACTCTTCCGCACAGCTATGGAGCATCCCGGGTTTGAGTCCGAAGTACAAATCTCCGGTCTTCCTCTGATAGATGTTTCTCCCAAGGAAGGAGATCACCGATTTCTCTCCCGGTTGAAGCGTTCCCGTGCGCTTCATCTTGAACACTTTACTCAGTTCCTCAAACACTTTTTCAGCTACACTAGCAACCGTGCTGAACACCAAGATGTCATCTACATAGGCCAACACCAACACAATGGCATCCTTGCCTTTCTCCTTGATCACCTTGCGATACACAGTGCTGTCAGCAGTAACAAAGAAACCAAGCTTTCTCAGTGTTTCTCCTAGCTCACGAAACCAAGCCAAAGGCCCAATCCGCAAACCATTCATGGCACGCTTCAGAAGACAATGCACACGCTCACCTGACACTGTCCTACAGTTCTCCGGCAGCTTCACCACCTCCGTAGAAAACAGCTTAGCCTGCATGAAGGCCACAGAAATATCTCCCGAAATCACCTTCCCTCCGAAATGCGCATACATCCCCAACAAACACCTCACAGACTCTAAGGTAGTAGTAGGAGAATAGATGCCATCAGCTAAAGCAGAGGTGGGCCCTTTAAAGTCACGCACAACCAAACGGCAGCGCACACGCTTGTGCCCGTCCTTGTAGTGCAACACCCACCTGGTGGAAAGCACTCTCCTCTTGGCCTCCCGCACAAGGCGAAATGCCTCCTTCTCCGACACAACCTGGCACACACCAAAGTGGTCCAGTTCCTCCATTTCAAGACGCATCCCTTCCCCAAGTTTCTTCTCCTCAAGAACCTCTCCAGTATATTCATCAGCAGCCCCAGAAGGAACCTCAACCTTCACCTTGGACCCTCCAAACTTCAAAGTAAACTCCAACTTGGAAGCCCTAGACCCTTTAGCGTCCTTTGCCGCGAACACAACCTCAGGTCTAGAACACATGGAGGACAAAGCATGGTCCTCCAGCCAGCTGATCGCCACCTCCATGGGATCATCATCGTCGGCCGGCTGCATGTCCACGTCGTACAAAGGTGGGGCCTCGTTCTCTCCTGCAGGGGGCCCTTCAGGGAGTACCTCTTCCTCCTCAACTGGAGAAGGATCATAGTCCATAAGCTCATCCTCCAAGAGCTCAGCTGGAGCCTCCGGCTCCGCACTCCCCCTCTCAACTAGATTACCCTTAGGCTCTCCAGGCTGAAAGGCGGGGCTTCAGGTCTAAGGAAACAGGACGCTCTAAAACGTTGTCTTGCCTAGAAGGTGCACCCGAATCGGCGGCTTGTACCACCAACTCCTCAGGATACAGATAAGGCTGGTCCGGCCGAAAGGCCGACATCACCTCGACCTCATCGGGCCGATCAAGAGGGAGCACACGCACTCCTCCACCATTGGGCTTGGCAGGCCCTAGGTACATACACGGGATGAGGCGGCGGCCTCGATTCTCAGGCTTCTGCTTTGCGGGTCTGGCAAAACCCTTGCAACCAAAAGGAAACGTCTTCGTCACTGGAAGATGTTGGCGTCTCAGCCTTTCAATTGGCGTGGTTTGCGACTTCGAGGTCGCATGCAGGTTCCTGGTCCTAGCAACATATCTCAAAGCTTCCTTGTACAACAAACCACCCAGCCGGAGCTTCTTCTCCAGCGTAGTTTCTAGCGTTAGCCAATTCACCCAGAAGGCTTCCTTCAAGTGTCGCACACCTACCTCCACAAGCCCTTTCGACTGCGGCCGTCCTTTCGGCACCGCGTCTATGTGCAACGAGAGGCCTGGGTATGAGCGGTC